GTTTGTCGGTGCCACAGCCCTAGCCAACGTCGTGCCGGAATGGACATCCATCAGGGAGCTCGCCATTGGCGATGCTCTCCTCCGTGGAAAGGGAGGCTTGTTGCTAGCCGGGGCCTTGTCAAAGGGAAAGAACCAGAAGTTGGAAATTCTTCGCTTGGCTTATAACGAGATCACCGCTGCCGGTCTTAAGGAGCTGGCCGCTGCCGTGAAGGACTCCCTCCCCGCGCTGAAGCGCATCGAAATCACTGGAAACAAGTTCGAGGAGGAACACGAGTCGGTCGTTGCTCTTCAAGAGCTCCTCGAGGAGCGAAAGGAGAAGTTCGCCGGCGATATCGTTATTGAGGACGACTGGGGTGTTGACAGCTTGAGCGACCTGGAAGGAGAGGATAGCGACGAGGAAGAGGAGGAGGAAGAGGAAGACATCTCAACCGAGGAGAGAGTTGAGAAGCTTACCAAGGCTGCCGCCGAGGCACAGGAAGCACCTACTGTCAAGCATACGGATGGAAGTGTTGACACTTTGACCAAGCAACTTGAGAAGACCTCAATTTAGATGCATAGATAGATGAAAGACATGACACATAGAATGGGAGCTCTCAGTGGAACTTGATACCCCCTAGAATACAGGTGCTGAATTGGATGAAATATGTGGTGGGCTCGCATCCCTGCTTCTACATAAAATGGCAGTCCAGGCTTCACATAGCGCATACACACACCGACACGTAATCCATTCATCGGTTTTATCCAAGAACTTACGGGGGGTTCATTTGGGTCTCGTCATAAATGGGGAAAAGCGGTATTAGCATGATTAAAGAGCAGTATTTGTCTGCTGCCCACCGAGACGAGTGTGGGAAGACGAAGTTTGCTTTGGAGAGGAGTCGTACCTTGATTAAACTAGATAGATGTAGCTTGCTCGTCTTCAAAGCTTTCTGAGTTTCGTCAGCCCACTGGCACTCTCACAGGAAGAGGGAAGGGAGACATGATGGAAGCCAATTAACCCAAGGGGATTACATGAACCAAGAACCCTAGACTCCGACATAGAGAAGATTTGACCCTCATGATTGCTTCCTTGCCCTCAGCCTCCAAACAACTAGATCAATAAACTAATGCAAATGTATATGTATGGTTTTGCAGCTCTGCAAAAGCGAATGTCATCTATGTAAGGTTCCGCACAATACACACGAAAAACAAAATGATGAATGAATAACAATTATGCCGTCCCCCTTCCTTAGAAATCCATGCCATCGCCCTGGCCAACGACTCCAAACTGCTGAAACGCCCCATATTGTGTGGCCATTTCCATTTGCTGCTGCTCTCGGATGTAGTCGGGGCCTTGGTAAACAGGGTCCATTGCCTGGGAGTAAGTCGGCCCATTCATGGCCTGGGCCGTGCCAAAGCAGCCGTAGGCATTTCGTGATGGGCCAGTGGTGTAGGACTGTCGCTCTTGCTCTCGCTCCCTCTCGCGTCGCATGAGTTCCTCGTATCCAGAGAGCATGTATGGCTCTGGATCAGTGCTCTCTTGCTGGTGCCACTGCCCGTTCTGGGCCTGGACAGGTGCATTCCGAGCGGCCTCCTCTTGCTGCTGAGACTCGTAACGGACTCGGGCAAGCTGCTCTTCGTGCTCCACGGTCGTACTGCTCCAAGCCAAAGATGGGATGTCCCCGCCGTTCTTTGGTGGGCAGATACTCCAGAGCTCGAGCAGTCTTCTCTGCTGGGGAGCATCAGCCACCTTGAAGAGCTGGAGCTGAGAAGGTGTCAGGGTCTGAGGGTCGATGCCGTGGATGCGGAGGATATGCTCAGAGGCTGCGTTGTCGCCGTGCGGTGGCACAGAGGCCGACCTCGGGATGTCCTCTCGGTTTGAGGACTCTACGGGCCTTGTGATGTGACTGGAGTGGTTGTAGTGCTGCGAGGCAGAATAGACAACGGCTTGTTCCGGTTCCGGTGCTGGTACTTGTGCCTGAACGTCCGGGTTGAAAAAGATGGTTCGGGAGAGGAGAGCTGCAAGCTCATCCTGAGCCTGCATATTTGACTGGTAGGCCATGGTATAGATTATAGGCGGCCTGGAGTGATAAAGTTGTCAGTGTTGACCCCTCAAACGAAGATATACTGCGGGTACCTCGACGTAAAGTTCGGATATTGCAAGTTCCTGCTGTGAAAAAGCTATGAGGATAGGAGGGAGGAGGGGAGGTTTCTAATATATCTCCTCGGGGGGTTGTGGATGGAACAAAGAACAAAGATGTCTTTATTCTCTGCAAAGGAGAGGCTGTAGAGTTTCGGACGGACGAGACAAACGGCAAGCAAATAATGCGCGTGCGAAAACGGTTCCTTTGCCTCGATTGCAAGAGTGGCAATGGGTGGTTCTATTTCTTCGACTACACTAAGACCTGTCAAGCAGAAGAAAGGACACAGCAAAAGAAAACAAATCGTATCAAGCAGGATACCGTAGAAATAGGATGAGAAGAGAGAAGGAACCAAAGAATAAATAAGTAAACAAAAGGAGCAAGAGGAAACACGGCCGCCTGGCGGTCTGGTAATGAACCACGTCAAGCGTGAATTTCACGGGGGTGGGCAGACTTGTTGGGTTGCGTTGGGTCCCAAGACTGGGGCTGGAACACACTATTAGGCCGGCTTGGTCTTCACTGGAAAGGCGCGGAATGGGGAGAAGGAGGCGAGAGGGTGAGATGGGTGATTCAATAGCGATATAGTTCAGTTTTTCACGGATGTGTTGGATGGTTTTCTTTGTGTGAAGACGTGAGAATGAGTTCTGAGAAGTTGGTGGTTGTAGATTATAAATGGGTAGGAGGGGTAATGAGTGGCAGCCTGGATGGAGATTGCAAGGGGCAAAAGGGGGTCATGCCATGAATCTGATGGATGGATGGAGGGGTAAAATTCAAGACTCCAATCCCATGACGCAGCTTGTTCAACGTGACCTGCCAAGAGTCACGCCCGGCCTTGGAGCAGAAATTGGGCTTCTTCCTAGCCATTGGTTGTGGCGTAGTCACGGATCAATTTGTTCAGATCAATATAAGCGCATGTATGTATTTATTGCTTTCTGGCATTCCTCGTAAACTAAAACAGGTGCTATAATGCATCCATTTTCCACCTGGATGCATGATTCAGCTTCCTGGGAAGTTCTGGCTTTGGAGTGACAGTCGGGGTGAAGGTGTCATACGCTTAGCACCCGAGTGTTCCGCAAGACGGATGAAGATGAAGCTACACCGGCATCTTAGACCAACTTGTACGTACTTGTATGTAAGAAATGGCCCGGCGCTCTCTGCAACGACCAGCAGGGTGGTACTGATGGATGTTTGCTGCATGAAACGGACGCTCTAGGTTAAGCTACCGAAATTGCTCGAAGAATGGAAGCTTGCCACGAGGCATCGCGGGGTAGCAGACTAACCTAAACCTATCAGCCACCCGACGGCACGCCAGACAGGGGAGGAGCAATGATGAGCCACCAGCCACATGTGGCTTGACGGTTTCCGCCTCAGGCAGCTCCGCTTCCAGCCCTTGCTGGCTCTCATCGACGCAACACGCAGCTCAGGCTGCCTGGTGAAGCTCCATCTAGGTTAGCGATCCAAGCAACGCCCGGATCGAACAAGAGCTCTCTCTCCCTCCTCCAACAACCCCCCCAGTCCCGCAAACATCAGCCTCGAAAACCCACCAATTTTTCACATCACAGAGGCAAGATGGTGAGTTTCCCCCACCATGCTGAAGATGCATGCATCTGTCATCGATATCCTGAGCTGGGTTCTGACCTCATTCCTCTCCCGCACAGACGTCCATAGGTACAGGTTACGATCTTCTCAACTCCATCTTCTCACCAGATGGCCGTAATTTCCAAGTCGAATATGCCGTCAAGGCAGTAGAGAATGGCGGAACCTCTATTGGTATCCGGGCCAAGGACGGTGTCGTCCTTGCGGTGGAGAAGGTGATAGCGTCAAAGCTGTTGAAACCTGGAGCGAACAAGCGGATCGCAACTGTCGACTCACACATTGGAGTGGTATGAAGCTACCCCCACCCCTGGAACATGTGGATTTTACATTTAGGGAAGCTTACACTGTTCGACCTGACAGGCATACTCCGGCATGGTCCCCGATGGCCGTCATTTCGTCGACCGGGCTCGTGACGAGGCTTCATCTTGGCGCGACAACTTCAAGACCCCCTCACCAACAGCCGACCTCGTCTCTCGCATGGGTGGCTACCTGCAAGCATACACCATGTACGGCTCTGTCCGTCCCTTTGGTATCACTGCCATCGTAGGAGGCTACGACACATCGGAAGAGACACCAGTGGACGGAGAAGTAGGTTCAGGTCCCTCATGTGGTGCCGGCGGAAAAGTTCCCGGAAAGCACGGCGGTCCCTTCCTCTATATGATTGAGCCCAGCGGACAGTACTGGGGCTACTACGGTGCCGCCACCGGCAAGGGTCGGCAAGCTGCCAAGGCCGAGCTGGAGAAGCTCGACCTGGCTGCTGGTACGCTCTCGCTGGAGCAGGCTGTCAAGGAAGCAGCACGAATCATCCACCACGCACACAAAGACAACAAAGACAAGGAGTTCGAGCTGGAGATGACATGGATCAGCGGGATTGATGGCCCTACCAAGGGACGGCATGTGGAGGTACCCAAGGAGTTGAGGGAGGAGGCTGAGAGATTAGCAAAGGCTGAGGATGAATCTGACGATAGCGATGATGATGACGAGGATGAGAAGAAGGACGGGGACAAGATGGAGGAATAAACTTGAAATTTCTTGTCGGCTGGAGTCGTAGAATTAATTGAAAAGACTTCTGTGAAAGACGTATACTTTTATTTTCCCTCATCCCAAACTGGCATTAGCCATCTACTATTGAGTACAGTATTAGATTCTACTCCTTCATGTGAGATTCATCTTATCCTCCATCTAGGTCCATGATTAGACAAGCTATTGCTAGGCTAGGCAAAACAATAAAAACAAACACCTGATTTTCTTGAACATTATCTACAGTATTGACATGAATGACTGTGACTATGGGTATAGGGTCCGAGTCCAATTGCTCCATTCGTCGAAGAAGGAACGCTGCAACGTAATCTTTCCGTGAAAACGCTTTGCCTCGGTTTTCAAATAGACGGCCCCGGCCTGCTCCCACGAGTCTCTGTCGATGGACAGCATTGCCGATACGACGATGAGACTGGCAGCACTGGCAGCCTTCGCATAAGCATGCGAATTCGAGTTGTCGTTGCCGGCTTCTTCATGGACCTGGATCAGGACGCCGAGCAGGTCGTCCGTGGACAAACCGTCAAACTCCTGCTTGTTGCCCAGAGCCTTTTTGAGACCTTTCCGGTAGTCGAGGATGATTTCGTGGGCCCGGCTGGCCAGGGGCTTTGTGCTCGTCGTGCGTACGAGGTTGAGAAGGGGTACCAGCAGGGAGAATGACAGTGGGTTCAGGGTCTCGTTTTTGATGTAGATTTTGAGCAGATCCAAGATGCGGTGCTTGAAGTTGACGACCGATTGCTTCGCATCCTTCTTTTGTTTCTTCGAGTCTTTGGCACGCTTGACATGTGGCCGGATCACCTCGGCCAGCTTTTCGTCGAGGGCGAGCATTTCCGAATCAGACATGTCGTTATCGTCTTCGGATGATTCAGCCTCTGCATCCTTGTCTAAGCGGTGGCTGTTGAGAATATTGCCAATGAGCTCATCAAGATCCACTGGATCATCCTTTTTGCCCTCTTGGCCATCCTCTTCATCTTCATCTTCATCCTCATCCTCGTCGTCATCCTCGTCCTCGTCCTCGTCCTCCTCATCGTCGTCGTCTTCGTCATCATCTTCATCGTCTTCAGAATTTTCACCCTCCTCGTCAACGTCCATCTGATCATCCTCAATATTGAAGAGTTCCTGCTGGCCCTTGGCGCTCTCATCGGATGCTAGTGGGCTAGTAAGAAGCTCTAGTCCCTCCGCCGACACCTGACTGGTGAAGGTGTCAAACACCTGCTGGGAGACTTCCCGCATGAGTGAGGAGGGGCGAGCCACCATTGACAAGAGAATCTCAATGAGAAGCTCTGAGCTACCCTCGTCGTTCTCAAGTTTGCCCTTCTTTAACCGGTCAGAGAATTGTGCGAGGTCCTGCAACACTTCCATGGCATCCGGGTCTTCGTTATACAGTTGGAATAAAGAGACTGCATGAAGTAGTGCCAAGCCGTGTGTTAGCGATTTCTCAACGCTGGATTTGGAGGTCCGCTTGAGAAGTTTTTGGAGACGAGATCGGGCCTCTTTCATGGCTGTCGCAATTTCGTCTTCCATGGCAACGAGATCAGTATCCATGGATAAAACGGCATTGCAGAGAACAGTGTGGTTATTGCCCTGGCGAATAAGTTTGGCCAAGGATGACTCTAAGCGAGATCTGCACAGGTCCTTGACTTTGTCGGTTAACAGATTCTTTGGGATGTGTTTTGGTTGAGAATATGCGAGAGCAGACAACTCTTGAAGAGCAGCACCGGATGCGAGCTTTGTCTCTGAAGAAGCATTTTCAGATGTGGAAGTCCCCGTTGCAACCAAGATTTTTGATAGGTAGTCCAGGTAGGTCTCCAAGAAAACCCGAGCTTTTTGGCTCTCCTCTTGTCCTAATTTGGCAATTGGAATTTGGATAATCTCGAGGCATGCCGCACCATTTTGTTCGTTGACGCTCTGAAGCAATTTGGCCACAGTTTTGGTGTTGGTTCGTTGGTCGAAATTGTAAACACCATTTTCACTGATGAGATTCTTGAGAACAGGCACTAAGGTGCTGGGGTGTTCCGAGACTGTATTCTCTAGGACCTTCAAAGTCTTGATTGCCGCTCGGTGAAGGTATCTGTCCTTATTGGCAGCTTGGTTGAGGAGACATGTCATGAGGTTCTTGGTGAAAAGTGATTCTAAGAAGGAAGGATAATCCACCAGGCTGGTCAAATACTTCTGGAACACCATGAAGCCCTTATATTTCTGTCCGTCAGTAGCATTGTTTGAGAACAAATGGTCTAATTCCTAGTGTCAGCAACTTGGATCTTGTTTAAGATGCAGAGGGTTTGTAACTCACCATTGACGACCCCCTTCCAGAAAACCTCAAAATCCTTGGGGTTGTGCCCAGTTTTGCTTTGATCCTGGATATAATGGGCCATGATCTTATCCCACACGAAGTGCGCCTCTGCCATCCGGTTGCCCTGCTTGATGTTTGAACCCTGGCCGAGCTCGTCCCCCGCATTGCCACTCTCCTTTAAGACAGCCCCGAGGTCGTTCAGAGACTTTCTTGACAACGGATGCTGCCAAGGTTTGATAGAGAGTTCAGGAAAGCGGTCGAGACCTGCCAACCAGAAAGCCACTCCTTCAGGGGTCCTGGCGAGACCTGACGAAGAGACTTTCTCGAGCGTAGACACCACCCAGTCCTTTTGTATCTGCTCAATTGCCTCAATCACCGTAGAGGCACATGCTGACCTGAGCGAGGCCTTCTTGTAGGCAAGGTCGAGCAACAAATGGAGAACTGCGAGCCACCTGGATTTGTCCTGGAGAGCAAACTTGGATCTGACAAAGGTATGAAGACCGAATAACCGCCCAATGTAATGGTCGCGTTCTTCCTGGCCGGGGATGTTCCCTGTGGGTTCAGTGCTGGTTACCAAAAAATCCAGCAGCCTCTCAAATGTGAGACCGCTATAGTACTTGTCACCGAGATCCTTCTCCCACATCTCAGTGAGAATCTCGGTGATCACCTCGCCGAAACCAACTCGAGCTGCCTTACGACCACTGGCAAGGCCCCGGAATAAGCGATCCCTAAGGTGACGTTCAAGTATCACCTCAGGAACGGGCTCGATGCCAATCAGGTTGGCGACGATGCATACTGCTGCTGGGTTTCGTTCCTCGGGAAGCTCACTTGCTAGAGCTTCATAAAGGTTTGATTCTCGAGCCCGCTCAGGGCCAATGGGAGATTCCACGAATGGTCTCCTTTCAAGTGCGGCGCTTGTATCATTTTTCTTTGAGTTCTTTGGTTTCTTGGATGGCGGAACGGTGGCATCCGGGCCACTTCTGATTCTTTTACCAGCCATCACTTCAATTGGCGTTGAAGAAATGCTTTGATGATAACTTTGATGGTTTCTATAACTTTTTGCCGTCCAAAAATTAATTTGGGGCGGATGCCCCACTTGGATGGTACACCGCCTGCCTAAAGAATCGCGGTGTCGTCGAGCGGGTGTTGGAAAAAGAGGGACCGCAACGGCCACTTATACATCGAATAACTGTGGCATAGTATGCACTAACAATACTAGATAATGATGGTTCTTGTTGTTTATCTTAAATAATACTGCCTAACTATACTAAATCTTACCGTTCATCCGCGTTTTGAAAGTGGTTTCTGAACAGGTATTGTGGCTTGTAATGGAACGTTGAAATGGCAACAGACCCCCACCTGACTGAGCGACGGTTTTCACTACTAGATATTTGGGTGGTGGTGAGAGTAAAATAGCTGAAATAGTCTGCACGCCATGGCCTCCTACTTTTTAACAAGGGCGGGATTCAACAATCGCTGAGATATTCTGCGGTGCTAGGATCTGAGGCGGACCTGACGCTCTGGCTTCTCCGGAGGGCGAGAGTAACAATAGTTGAACCATGCCGTGGATCACATATCTGTAGGCTCGAGCTGGCCCGGCGATTGGAGTGGCGATGTTCCCCAAACCGACCGGACAGTGGCAAATGCGAAACACCTTCACCTGGTGATGTGATGTGATGATGCAGGGGGAGTCTATACTTAGGCTGATTAGGCAGCGGTTTGTCCGGGTTGTGTGTCGGGTCCGACCAGGTGCAGCGCACGTGACCTCGCGACTTGCAGCAGCTGCCCCGCACTAAGAGCGCGACGCATTTGTTTACTCTGTGCGCGAGCTGTTTACTTTGGGCAGAAACCACCGAAAAACCGCCCCACGTTTTGGGTCTGTTGGTGGTTTGCCGGTTTTTCAGCAGCAAACACTGGAAAACCCCGCACGAGAACTGTGAAACCGCCCAGGACAAGCAATCACCCTGTTTAGCTTCAATAGCAACCGGAACTCTGCATAGGCACCGCACTGCGAGTGGAGGGTCAGGTCACGACTGCATCAGATCAAGAGCTGTGAGAGGTCGAGACCTGTCGACAGTTGGTGGGGCGGACTGGGCTGTGCCTCCTTCAGATACGGGGCGATTGAGGGCCTCCAGGGGTTTGCGATGTGAGGTAAGGAAGCTGAATGCCTTTTCACCTTGGAGTTGTGTCATCTTTGGCCGTTGATTGGAAGGCTCGGTCAGGCGAGGGGTTTCCATCTCAGGCAGTCCAGCTCGGCCGTTCGGGCGCTTACAGGTCCAGGATCGGATAGTCAAACGTAAACATTGGATCGCTCGGGGGCTAGCTCACCTGGACGTCAAGCAAATGCGCATCAATCGGTGCTGACGGCGTTGTTACATTGGGGGAGACCAGGGCGAGGATCCCGAGGCTGGGGAGCATGAGGGGATGTCATCATCCTGATACTCAATTCTTGAGGTCAGGTGTTCCGTGGCCATCTAGCTACTGGCCTACTCCTATGTAGGCGATACTAGTGATACCTTACCTGCCTAGCTTGGTAATCTGGGCAGGTAGACGATCTGCCTTGTTCGTGTTTGGAGGCTCGGCTACGGAAACGGATAGCAATGACATCAATGTGTGTGTGGACTGACACAGGCGGATCGGGTGAGTGAGTACCCCATCGGCGATGGGATGTCGATGAGACCAAGCTCGAAAGGATCTGCGAGGTAGCCTTGCGAACTAGTGTATCGAAGATGAACACCTGGAACAGGATTGATGAAATGCCGAGTTCGAATGGGAAAATTTAATGGGACTTGCCTTGATCTACGAACCGCGAAAATCTCAGTTCCATGCCTCAGCATTGACTTTGGCATGAGGGGCAACCTTGTCCGGATCAAGTAGGCAGTGCAGTCGCATAATTCGGGTCTTGAGTTAGTTGTCTCACCGGCTGTGCTAGATCGTTCTTCAACGGGATTGATCAACCCCATTGGAGGAGGCAAACTTCTGGGCGTTGACCTGGCGTGGCAACCGCGGGAGAGCATCGTAGCAAGAGAGTACAGTGTGTCTTGGATCTGAACTGGCCCAATATGCGTGTGAAATATTCACAAATAGCAATGATACTGCGACTAAAGATGGCGCGCCATTGTTGGTGATAGATGATAGACACGCAGCCACCAGCAAATAGCCTTGCTTGTTGTGACAGGGACGAACCGTCGGTCGGGCAGCAGGAGCTGAGCTGCGGCGCTTCGAGATGATTCGGATCGCTCGCTGCATGATGCAAGAAGGCCTAGCTCACCTTGGCTTGGGAATGGAGGCTCATTGAGCGCATGTCGTTGGTCAGTGCAATTCAATGGACACCACACCAGCCACGGTGCTAGTTTGCATTTAGGCGAGGCCTCAGATCTAGGCTCGACTGAGGATTCGACTAGGCTGCTCTAGCTTCGGTATCTGGAACAAATTGGGCTATTTGGCACAAGGCATTAGCGAGACGGAGAAAAGAGTAATACAGAAATGGGGCTTTTATCCAAGATTCTGGTGACGCGCGTGACGGCATACCATGGGGAGATTTTTTTAGACGATGCGCCTCGCTAGACTATGCACCCATACAGGATCGGCTGGCAATTTTTAGCATTTCAGTCGATTTTTTCGCTGTCGCAATTTTCTTTGTTTTATTCAATTGTCGTTGCTAGCTGGCTAAAACGCGAAAGTAAATAAAAGACAAGGACCCAGGCGACCAGGGAGCACTAGCACATGCATGCACGCATGCACGTACATATGTACGTACATAAGTTAGGCATGGTAAGATAGATGGATATCTTCGGTGAGTGCTACATGCATGATGAGTGCGTTTCCGTGTGGACAGATCGAGACGCACCTACATACGGCGCAGGAGTGAAATCCACTGACGCAATGCCAATCACCCGAGAGAGCACAGTTGATTCGTCGCCCAAGGGATAGGCCACACATGTCTCACAAAGCACCCTGGCACCAGCCTTGTGCCCACATTTGAAGCAGAGCTTCTCGACTTGTGCCTGGTGGCTCCGTGCATTGTCTTCCGTGACAGTGCTTGAAAAGTCTTTTCCCGCGGCTTGAGGCAAAAGGAGTTCCTTCAAGGGAGAGAGAGCCAGCCCCATTCACTCATTTCGGCCATTATTACGGGGCGAGGGAGGGAGGCAAAATGGCAATCGGCAGGATGGCTCAGTCACCAAGAATTAAAGATGACGGACTGGGATGGCCGTAGCAGGGAGGGCCTTGATTCCTTTGTTGGCGGAGACGCATAGCTTCCTCCTCAGCTCTGACGAACCCTTGGCCCCTTGCCAAATTGGGGATGACAGTAGGCTCGAAAGGGCACAGGTTCACTGTCCAGGTACTTTGGGGAGAGAAGAGTCAGAGTCGAGACGACGACGACTTGCATCGCTTATTTCTTTGTATGGGCACGAGAAGGCGGAATTGCTTCGTTGCTGGGTTGACAGGAGGCTAATGTACGATATATATTACATGTACAGCGCTGCACTATGTGATGGACATAGGCTGCTTGTTGTTTCTAATGCAGTACTGACCTGTCACAGGCTGCCGGTCGTACATTATGTGCAGCTCTAGCGACCTTATTAACCTGCTATCAGCACATGCCTGGGTGGGAATGGATACTAATAAGCCTGCGATACCTGTAGGCAGGCAACGTGCTCCGTAGCGGTGGAATACCCTCTCGTCATCAATGCAAATATAGGTGACCCAGCAACCAAGGGAGAAAAGCAGCCGATTCTCGTCTGTTACGAGACAGCCTCAAATTTTGCATCGACACTGGGGACATGGGTGATGCTCCATGCACAAGTTGAATGAAACGCCGTAGGGTCACCTAGCATCTGATCTCAGGGTCAAGTCCAGGCACATAATGTGAGGATGAATCTATGCGTGCACGGAGACCTGTTTGGTGTGTTCACCGCTTCTTGCCCGAGATGATGATGTAACTCATGGTAAGGCTGTCAGGGCACTCAGTAATTACCTGCCTGCACCAGCTGCACTGGCAATGTCGGGGGATCCACTGCTAAGCGCTGTGCAAGGGGCACCATCCACTGAGCAACGCCCTTGAAGGCGCCAATGAGTAGCGAGGTCGGCAGCCAGACCAAGGTGAGACAGTGGGGAGAGCGCATGCCCGGGCTTGGCTTCTGCCACCCCAGTCCCTACCACCTTCAGTCGCCCATAACAACCTCTGCTGGGATCGCCGAGGGAAGAAAGGGAACCCACCCTGCTCCAGCGACCAGCTCAATCCGGGTACATTCATCAGCTGGCAACCAGGCCCAGCGACCCCACTGTGTGGCCCTGCTTCTGCACCGACACACCAGCCCAGACACCCAGCCCAGACACCCAAGTGCCTGTCCGTTCCATGGGTGGTGCTGCTGCTGCGATACGGTTGCTGCGTTGTACCGTCACCCGTACCGTCCCGTCGTCGTCGCTGTGCTGCGCTGCGTTGCTGTGGTGTGTGGTCCTTGCGGACGACTCCATTCAAAAGGCGTTTGCTCCCCATCCATTCTCCTACCCCCCTCCCTTTGCATCCGCACTCTCGCTTGACGGGACAAAGGCAAGGTAAGGTCAGTTGCTCTCGAGTGGTCGTTCGCTTTGTTGGTGTTTGGACAATTGAAAAGCGACTCGACTTACTCGGCCGGGAGGAGCGCACCTGTTGCTTTCGTCTCAACCCGTAAATAGCACGCTGCCCTGCTTGGGCCCGACCCGTGAATAGAGCTCAGCTCAAGCTTTCTTCTCAGAAACCTGCACGGCCCACCCTCCCGACAAAACGGAAAGTCGAAGCCTTGACCCAGCGACCTAAATATTACAGTCGACACTTCCTTTCCTCTCCGGACGAATTCGAGACCAGACGACGGCTACGCACTCTTTTACGTCAGATGTCCTCGATACGATTATAGCCATCAACCTCCTCGGCCCTCGACCCCTGCTGTAAGCTCACCCTACGACAATTTTTCTTGCCCTCCTCCTTCAGGTTGGCAAAGGGTAGCACGCTCAGGAACT